GTCTGTCTATTTCTCTCCCTGTTTATCTATCTATTAGTTTGTATGTGTGTCTGTCTGCCTGTCTCTCTCTCCTCTCTTTCTGTGTCTATCTATTTGTCTGTCTGTCTGTCATTTTCTCTCTCTCTCTCTCTCTCTATTTCTCTCTCTTCTCCCTCTCCTCTCTTTCTTTCTCTCTCTCTTCTCCTTCCGTATCTCTGACTCTCTCCCTCCCTCTCTTTTTGTGTCTGTCTGATTGCCTGCCTGTCTGTTCGTCCGTCTGTCTGTCTCTCTCTCTGATTTATGGATGCAAAAAAAAGTTAATATCAAAATGATCATCTTTGTGATCTATCAAGGGACAGGCCTCAGACGTCCATCGGAGGAACGAAAAAGATTGAAAATGAACATCATATTCAACACCTAACACGAAAGGAACGACACACACACACACACACACACACACACACACACACACACACACACACACACACACACACACCACCACACACACATATAATATATATAAGCATACACACATAAATATATGTACATCTGCATGTATGTATGTATGGACCCAATACACGCACACAGTTGCCTGTATATTCATATATATATATATATATATATATATATTATATATATATATATATATATATAATATATATATATATAATATATATATATATATATGTGTGTGTGTGTGTGTGTGTGTGTGTGTGTGTGTGTGTGTGTGGTGTGTGTGTGTGTGTGTGTGTGTGTGTGTGTGTGTGTGTGTGTGTGGTGTGTGTGTGTGTGCGCACTCACACACACACACACCGCCCATCCCCTCAACGGCCGGTGCGGCGCGCGCCCAAAGAGCCGCCGAGAACCACGTGTCCAATGTTTACTCGAGAATCCTCTGGCTTGACTGCTGCTTATACTACTGTGGCTGAAGGTGTGTGGCGCTTTTACCGTTAATTCTCGGACTGCTAGAGAGAGAGAGAGAGAGAGAGAGGAGGAGGGGGAGGGGAGAGAGAGGAGAGAGCGAGGAGGAGAAAGAAAGGGGGAGGAGAGGGGAGGAGGAGGGAGGGAGGGAGGGAGGAGAGAGAGGAGGAGAGGTGAGAGGGGGAGGAGGGAGGGAGGAGAAGAGGGGAGGGAGGGAGGGAGGAGAGAGAGAGGGGGAGGAGAGGGAGGAGGGAGGAGAGAGGGGGAGGGAGGGAGGGAGGGAAGAGGAGAGGGGGGAGGGGAGGGGAGGGAGGGAGGGAGGGAGGAGGGAGGAGAGGAGAGGAGCGAGAGAAGGGAGGGAAGAGGGAGGAGGAGAGAGAGAGAGAGAGAGAGAGAGGGAGGAGAGAGAGAGAGGAGAGAGAGAGAGAGAGAGAAGAGAGAATGAGAGAGAGAGAGAGAGGAGAGAGAGAGATTGAGGAGAGAGAGAGAGAGAGATAGAGGAGAGAGAGAAAGAGAGAGAGAGAGAAGAGAAGAGCAGAGAGAGAGAGAGAGTAGAAAGAGAGAGAGAGAGAATGCTGAGAGGGGAGAATGTGCTGTCTGTGTGTGCTGTTGTGTGTGTCTTGTGGGTGTGTGCTATAATCTGTGTGGTGTCGTGTCACGAGAGAGAGAGCAGAGAGAGAAGACGGATGACGAGAGAGAGATAAGAGAGAAAGAGAGAGAGAGACGAGACACGACGGAGAAGACTGAGATGAGACGGAGAATCTGTGTCTCTCATGTCGTGTGCTCTATATAACTGTACACTTGTCGAGACAGAGAGTTGATCAGCAGCAGACAACATTCCAGAAAGGAACACGATTCTTCGCTTCTCACACACATTCTGACGATTATAAAGTGAACACTGTCGAGAGTCAGGTCCGCTGTCTCAGCACGGCATTTACCCGTATCATATGAGTCATGAGAGCTGTGTGGGCACGCAGGGGCAGTGCAGGCAGCAGGCGGCAAGGACAGGGCAGGCAGGTGCAGGCTGTGGCACGCGGTGTTTGATTTGGCCGCGTTTTGCTGCCCCCGTGAACAAGGAAAATGTGTCTCCTATCTCATCTCTTCCTACTTCTCTCTTCTCTCTTTATATCTTACTCCTACATCTTCTTTCCCTCTTGCTCTCTTACTTCCGTGTTCACCAAATCGACCCTCCTTTTCTCCCCTTCTCCCTTGCTCCCTTCTTTCCCTTCCACTTTTTGCTTTCTCCCTCCTCCCCTCCTCCTCTATATTTTATTTTATCACTCTTTGAGAATCATCGCTCTTAGTGGCTGCCTTCTCCACTTCTCGACTTACTTTCTATATATCATTTCTCGCTTTTCACGATTATTGCGTTCCCCCCTCCTTTTTTCATCCCAATCCGCTCAATATTTCGCTTTCCCCTCCTCGCGAATCGCGTCGGTGTTTTATCCATCTCTCGCACGCCTCTCACTCTCCCTCCTGTTATTTCATGCGTATAATTCCTTCTCTCCCCCTTCCGTCTGTCTTCTCTATTCAACCTCCCCTGCTCCCCTTACACCTCCCAACCACCTCTTTTCTATCTCTATTTTCTATCTCTATCCCCCCCTTCCTTTCTACCTCTCCCCCCCCCCATTCTCTCTAATTCGAACCTCCCCTGTCCCCTTACACCTCCCAACCACCTCTTTTCTATCTCTATTCCCACCTCGTTCCTTCTCCTTTCCAATCTTTCCCCACCCCCTTTTCTATCTTCCTTATCACCCGTCTTCTTCCACTTTCTCCCCACTATTCAACCTTCCCCTGTCCCTTACACCTCCCAACCACCTCTTTTCTATCTCTATCACCCCCTTCCTTCCACCTCTCCCCCCCTCCTCTGTCTCTCTATTCCAACCTCCCCTGTCCCCTTACACCTCCAACCACCTCTTTTCTATCTCCTATCACCCCCTTCCTTCCACCTCCCCCCACCTCTGTCTTCTCTATTCAACCTCCCCTGTCCCCTTACACCTCCAACCACCTCTTTTCTATCTCTTATCATCCCCCTTCCTTCCACCTCTCCCCCCCCCTCTGTCTTCTCTATTCAACCTCCCCTGTCCCCTTACACCTCCCAACCACCTCTTTTCTATCTCTATCACCCCCCTTCCTCCACCTCTCCCCCTCCGTCTGTCTTCTCTATTCAACCCCTTATGCAACTTCCTCTGCTAAAGCTTTCCAACCACGATCAACCAGGCGCAGGTGCTCTGCTTTGATGACTGTTTACACTCACGAGCACGTCTATGCGGAGGCGGTGAGGGATAAGAGGGAGAGGGAGACGAGGGAAGCAGAGGGAGAGGGAGAGAGAGGAGAGAGGGAAGAGAGAAGAGGAGAGAGAGGGGAAATGGAGGGAGGGAAAGAGAGAAGAGGAAAGGGAAGATGGAGAGGAAGAGGAAGAGAGGGAGAGGGAGAGGAGAGAGAGAGGGGAAAAATGGAGAGGTAGAGAGAGGAAGGGAGGAAGGGGACGATGAGAGAGGGAGAGAGAGGGAAGGGAAGAGAGGGAGAGAGGGAGAGGGAGAGGAATATAGAGGGAGGAAGGGGAAGATGGAAAGAGGAGAGAGAGAGAGGAGCCGAAAACTGGAAGAGCTCCCAGAAGAGAGGAAATGGAGAGAGAGAGAGGAAGCAAGATGGAAAGAGGAGGAGTGAGAGAGAGAGGAAGATGAAAAGAGAAGGAGGGAGAGAGCGAGATGGGAGAGAAGAGAGAGAAGGAAGAATGAAAGAGAGAGAGAGAGAGAGGAAAATGGGAAAAGAGGAGAGGAGAGAGGAAGATTGGAAAGAGAAGGAGAGAGAGAGGAGAGAAGAGAGAGGAGAGAGAGAGAGAGGAAGAGAAGGAGAGAGAGAGGAGGAAGATGGAACGAAGAAGGAGGGAGGGTGATAAATAGATCGATAGAATAGATAGAGAGAGAGAGAGGAAGGGGGGCTCGGTGGATTGGGCGAGAAAAAGTGGAGAGAGAGGAGAGAGAGGAGAGAGGGAGAGAGGGGATTAGGGAGATGAGAGAGAGAAGAGGAGAGAGAGAGAGAGAGAGAGAGAAGAGAGTAGGGAGAGAGAGAAGAGAAGACGGGAGAGAGAAGAGATGAGAGAGAGAAGAGAGAGAGAGAGAGAGAGAGGAAGAGACGAGAGTGAGGAGAGAGAGAAAGAGAAAGAAACAGAGAGGGGAACAAAAGAGCCTTTTTTTGTCCATAAGCTACATCGCAAGAAAATCAAGCCTTCTTTGCAGCCATCAGTCTCTCCCACACAAAATAAAATAACAATAAAAGATAATATACTCAAAAAGGCCTTTTTATATAGATTCTCTGCAACCTCCAATCTTTGCGACATCCCACACAGTCGTATCTGTCATGTGCGTTGACCCTCCATACATCAGAGTAGATAGCGATGTGTACAGATATCTACCATCATTGTCACCTGTTCTGGCCTAAACAAGCCTCTGGTACTCATTCAGGCTTTTATGTGTGACACAATGAAGGAGTGATTATCGTAAGTGCAGCTTCAGCTTTTAAAATAGGCTCCTGAGTCAGAGTTGCAGAATGTTACCCCCTGTGAGGCTGTCGGTAGGTCTTCACTCTCTCGTTCTCTGTCTCTCTCTATTCCTCTCTGTCTCTGTCTCTCTCTTCTCTCGACTCTTCTCTGTCTCTCTTCTCTCTTCTCTCTCTTCTCTCTCCTCTCTGTCTCTGTCTTTCTCTCTCTCTTTTTCGCTTCCCTCTCTGTCTCTGTCTCTTCTCTTCTCTCTCTGTCTCTCTCTCTCCTTATTCTTATACGCTCACACAAACCCTCAAACTTCCTACCCCTTTTCTCACCCATTCTTTCTCTCCTCCCTTTCTCTCTCTCTCTCTCTCTCTCTCCTCTCTCTCTCTCTCTCTCTCTCTCTCTCTCTCTCTCTCTCTCTCTCTCTCTCTCTCTCTCTCTCTCTCTCTCTCTCTCTCTCGTGTGTGTGTGTGTGTGTGTTTGTGTGTTTGTTTCTCCTTTCTTGATTGCATTTTTTTGTCCCAATTTGCAACTATTTGCTGTTGTTTACGGTATGGTTTGTGTCGGGTTTTGTGTTGTTCGTTATGTTTTTTTCTGTTTTGGTCTCTAGATATTCGTGTTGTCTGGTCGAGTCTCTCTATCCAGCAGCTTTATCTCTTTCTTCTTCCTCTTCCTCCTACTCCTCCTCCATTTCCTCTTCCTCTATATACATCCCAATGTTCCCTCTCCATATCTCTCGAGACATCTATTTCACTCCTAACCTTCCCTCCCACTTATTTTCTCTCCCTTTCACTCTTCCTTTCTCCACCTCCCCTTCGCTACTTCCCCCAACACATACATTTTATACAGTGTCAACAAAGAATAACGTCTGTGCCAATTTGATGTCTATAGGAATACATTATGATGCACAATTTTGCGCCACACTTTCCTTGAACCCCTTGCTCTCCCCTGCCAAAGCCCCCTGCCGCTCCTACCATAACTTGACATACTTCTTAAGTGTGTGTGTGTGTGTTCTTCTTTCCCTTCTCTCTCTCTCTCTTATCTGTCTGTTCGTCTGTGGCTCTTTCCTTATTTCCTTATTTCTTTTTCTTTTCTTTTTTATTTCATCATTCTCCTTCTCTCTCCTTTCGCAGTGTCATATTCTTCTATGAATAAAGAAAGAAATGTCTTCTGAAGAGAAAAGATAGGATAGAATAGATATAAAATGGTATAGATAAGAGAGGGAGAGAGGGAGAAGAGAGAGGAAAAGAGAGATAGAATAGATCGAGAGAGAGAGAAACTGGAGGAGTGTTACCAAAGACTCTCTTTCAACCTCCCTTAGAAGGCCTAAATAAAGCATACCCACCAAACACACAAGAACACCACACACACACCACACACACAAAAAAAAAAAAAACAAAAATAAAAAAAAAAAAAAAAAAAAAAAAAAAAAACAGAAAAATCCAATCGTCCAAAATCCGACGGAAATCCCCTTCACTCCTCCAAGGCACGAAGCAGGAGCCGAACCACACCGAAAAATGACACCTTCACTCCATTCGGAATCCGACTTCGTAACATTCCCTCCGTCGTTATATCATAACTCAGACAGAGATGTAAACATGAACCCATTTCGCCCTCCCTTACTACCCCATCCCCACCCTCTCTCCCCTACCCTCCATCACCTCCTGACCCCCACCTCTTCTCCCCCTATCCTCTCTTCCCCTACCCTATCCCCCTCTTCCCTCTTCCCCTATCCCCTCTCCCCTACCCTCCCATCCACCCCTCACCCAAACCCCTACTCCTCCTACCCTCCATTACCTCCCTGATCCCTCTCCCTATCACCCTATCCCCCTCTCCTCCTACCCCTCCATCCCCCTACCCCCTTATCCCACCTCTCCCCTACCCTCACTTACCCCCTGCACCCCTTCCCCTCCCCCTTTTCTTCCCCCCTCTCCTAAGGACAGCGAGCAAAAGCTTTCATCAAGCTATTATATATTTTGCAATGATTAATTGCATTGACAAGAACGCCTATAGTGATTCGTGATGATACTTGTCCGGTATGTTGCATGCGATTTTTTTTTTTTATGGGGGAGGGGTAAGGGGAGGAAGCGATAGGGATGGCCATTATTTCAGTCACGATGAGAAACGTTTAATCAATTATTATTTTCATATTCATTTTATTTATTATTCCTATATTATTATTTTTTTACTTTTTTTTCTTATTCGTTATTCGTATTGATGAGAGCCGTTGATGATAGTAGAAAACAACGACGTTACTTTATTCAGCATAATAATCTTAAAGGAAATTGATACATTTTTTGTGCAGTCAATCATGCGCGTGACCATTTTGCGATACAGTCATAAACGCACACGCTATAAAAACACACATGAAACGGCAAAAGGAACAACGAAGGGAAGAACAAGAAAACCACAACGATATACCGAATATTTCTTGTTCTTTCCTTCGTTGTTCCTGTTGAATTTTGTTCGTCATGAATTCTACACATGGAAGAATATACAAACACAAAAAAACAGACCCAATCGTAATCAGTAATCCAATACAAAATAGGCTTCGTTCTGTTTCTAAGCCAAAATCAGAATAATTGTAGTTTAAAACGCCATTACCCATCTATTTTGTGGATAAAATTCCCCTTAAAATATATACAAAAAAAAAAAATATATATATTGGTACAGACACAATCCTGGCTCCCATTGCATCTTGCAGTGTGTTTGCAAGGTACACCGATGACTGGCAGGTATGCTTGTAAAAAAAGTACGAAGGTATGTGCTGTATGCCTTTTGCAAGTTTATATATACATACGTGTACATACTACAGACCCGTGATAAACTATAATATCATAATATGACGGGTTACGATAAATTCTAAACTATGAAGCTATAACGAAAATATAATATAAACGCACGATAAAAAAAAAGAAAAGAAAGAAATATAGGAAGACGAGACCATCACTCACCTCTCAGAACACGACACAAAACGAACCAAGACAACGCTATAAAAACAACAACAACAACAACAAAAAACCCGAGGATATGATAAGCACCAAGGTCGGAAATACAATCCGACCTGTACTGTCCAATGTATCTGATTGGCCATCGCGCTGTCCGAGCTG